CTTTTAATGAATCACGGAGTGTCAACCAGTAGTGGTTAAGAACAACTCTGCTGATACGGAGTATACGATTTAATTATAATGTAACCGTTGAACAGTTCACATTCCAGTTCATAGCATAAACTCATTTCAAAGTGGTGTGTCGCTTGTCATTTTTTAGTGGTCACTAGAGAAAATTTAAATGGTAGTTTTTATGCTTCGATGTGCATGAACACAGCTCGATGATGATTGTTTAGTGCTGAATGAAACAGATTTACTTGACTGAAATGTCAAAGTCTGTCGAATCCGTCAAATATGTTCGCAAAATTGTGTCTTTTCAAACAACTCAAAGCAATATTGAGTGCACTGAATAAGTTTTGTTAATTGGAATGTGACTGGAATGAGTTTCTCGTGTTTGTGACAAATTCGAAACACTAGCGGAATTGAATTCAACTGAACATGACAGGAACTAAGTGAGTTCTTCATATATTCAATTCACGAGGAGGCAATACGAATGGAACATATTTGTCGGATGTGAAAGAGTTTTGTAGAAAAGTTTTGAATTTTCATGATTTGGATCAGGGGTCTGATCGTGTCGAGTGAATTCGATCGTTCATAATTGTTTAAGAAATTTTGCCCATGTCGATGTTGAGTTCATCATCATTTTTCCATTGCCACGAAACAACGTCAGCATTCAGCGAAAATTTATTGTGACGAATTGTGACGCTATAGTTGGGGAGAAAATGTGATTTTTTTCTTTGAATATCAATTGCCTCAAGCATCGGAAGCGTGGAAATTTCACAGAACCCAATGAAAGAATTCCAGTAGAATAATGAAATTCATGTATGTTTCATTTCCTACGTTCCGTGATTAATATTAATTAGAAGTCGTTTCAAAATATTGCGCTCTCATTTTTACGTGCAGTCATAGAAAATGAACTTTTATAACTGGAAAACTCTACACGCTATCCTCTAAGCCAATTTTCCTCTTAATTTGGACTAAAGTTTTCTTCGTTTCAACATGAAATTGGTTTTGGTAGCAGTGTATTACAGTCGTAATTGCAGGCTTCAAATCAGTATCTCATGCTTTTTGAAATGTCTCCGAAAATAAACTTCTCTCAATTAGCTGTTTGAAAATTGTTTCACATCAAATTTCACAGCAAATTGTTGAAGGAAGGCGTCTTAAATTACTTATTATTTTGATAATTGCACGATACCAAATAAGACTCGCGATGAATTAAGAGATTCGCAAACTTAATGTAACTGAATGAAGATAAATGAATAACTCAAGTTATTTATCTTCTTTGGATGTATTCAAGTCATGACTGTTCGAGTCTACAACCATGATCAAAAGTTTTAAAAATATTATGATACAATCATATCGATAAATATGATACCATTGCATGTGATAGTATGCTACAAGGTCGGAAAAATGTCAGAGATGCGGAGAATCGGGGATGAACGAAATTTTGCAGTGGGGGACCCCGAAAATGTTGTCGGATCGAAAAAAGCCGGGTGCGGGGCCCCCGACCCCCGCACGACACTAGCATGTGATATGCAGTATCAACAATGATATGATAGGTTGCTTCAGTAACAGTGTCGACGTGATATTATTTTAGTGATAATTTCAGTAGCATTAACAGTGACATGATGAAATGTTTGAAATATAGTGGTATTATCGTAACATTACAACTGTAGCATTCAAACTCATAAAATTTTTTTTCGAGTTTATGTTTTTGAGCTGATTTCGATGGAATTTAATGTTTGATGTGGTTCTGGGAAATCGTTGAAATAGCGCATTTGGTTTATTTCACTCGATTTCAACGATCGTAGTCTATCATCATCGCAGTCATTACTGTCATCAATATTATTTATGTGTTTCATTTTTCAGTCTTTTATGATTTCAGTTCTGAGTTTATGACTTTTCTTGACAGCACTAACATGTTCATAATATCATTTTATGTTCGAATTTTTTAAAATGACAATTGAAATTCTATGCTTCATACGGATCATGTAATGGAGAAAACGGTATTAAAATCTTCTCATTTTCCTTAATATCAGCTTAATATCAAGCCATGAATACATAAATAAGAAGAGTTTATATTTTAATATCATTTTATCTGTTTTTCTTGAATTTTATTTGTATTTATTTTCTCTTTTCTTATTTTTAATATCTTTTTAATATCACAGGATATATTTTGATATCATAAGTAAGAGCATTAGTATTTAATATCCTAGCTTCGCGTCGAAAAAATTAGTTTTTATTGTGGCATCATATTGGTCATCTTATTCGGACTCAGCCCTATTGGTTCGGAATCTTTAAACTGCGTTACCACAATATCCCTTCTCAATGAATTACAATTATCATGCATTATCGAACCGTGCAATAGGCATTATCTAGCAGTATGCTCATTGCTTGCACTCATATTCATTTATCAACCAAAAAAACCCAAAAAAGTCCTAAATTTGAGGTTCTCTGACGGTTTTTCAAGCTGACACATATTCATGGAGAGAAAAAGTTACGAGGATGTCATTTGTGGTATTTGTTGTTGATAAGTGGGCACCATCAATATGGTCATGATGAGATTGGTGATTTACTGTTGATAGATTGGTATTATGACGGTTTACTGTCGTAAAGAGGTTTATGCTGTCATGGATTAACGAATTTGACAGTGATGCTTGAGATATTGCAGGATTATGCGAGACGATTGCGTAGAAGTGAAGGGAAACGAGTGGAGGCTTATCAAGCCGATTTCGGCACTCTTTTTCCGGTTTTAACACGAAAACGACAGCCTCCATTGCCGGCTAAACTACTCTTCGGCGATAAATCGCTCATCAATGATGCACAAAATCCACTTGTGCTCAGAAAACCAATCGAAGGCAATCACCTAATTCCCACATTTTCCAGTAGCCTTGATTTCATTTTGCTATAATCTTATGTAATGGTATATCATAATGTTGCAATGATAGTCGCTACCTTTTCCTGTGGAACAGTACATAATTCACTATTATACAGGTGCGCTGTAGGAGAATATTGAACTATACTGTTGCTGAACATCCACAAGAAATGCCTATTGAGCATGTGTAAGAATTGAAATGTACCAAAACTCTATTTGAATTGAAATATAGTAAATTATTGGAATATTAAGTACATTGCTTACATGCTAGGCTTATTTTACTCATCTATGAGCGTACGAGCGGTTGAGTGAAATCCATCTTTCAACACAACAGAAACTCAGAAGATTTATTGTTTTAACGAAGTCAAATGAACGCAAAAACACAATTTTCGTTTGTGTTACTCACATATACATCCATTTGTTTGTTGTTTGTCTGCAAATATTCGATATTGTCGATAGGGGACGGGAAGGACTCTTTTAATGGACTTTCTGGATATGCCATTGCTCTTACGAACAAATTACCCATCTTGATATAGATAGCTGAATGTTCAGTGCATCTGTTTCGTTACAGCTTTAAGTGTTCTTTTGTGAAAATTGCAACAATCTTTATTGGTCATAGATCTTCGCAAATTTTAGCTGCATTTTAAATAAATGCTTTGTTAGCTCTGATGTAAGTAATGCATCTTTGTTGATGAATTAAGCAATCCTCTTGGATCAATGCGTTTGCAGCACAGTAAATTTCTCAAATTCTGCGTAAATTACTTCCAAATCAGTTCAGTGTGAAGCAAAGTGTTGCACCTATCGTAATATTTGCTGTAATTGTTTTGGAAAACCTAAACAGTCCTCAGGAATTTCAATTTTAATTGTTACATATCAGTAAGGGACGTTGATCATTTTACTTGTATGCTGTGAATCTGATCAGAGCTCCGTTATTGTTTTGAGTTTTTTATAAGCGTTCTTCGTTCATGACTAGTTCTTGATTCAGACGATGAGGCTGGAGAGAAGGATCTTCAATCGCCAATTATTGTCGGCACGTTTCCGCTGGCAACACAACAATCAGCGATGATCGATTCGTTAGTATCAACTCTCATTATGCATCATTGCCATTTGAACCAACAAACTGTATTCAAGTATGGATGTGTCAATTTCATCACTTTTTTATCTGCTGGGTAAGTATCTTATATGATACAGGTTGATAGTCATGCAGGTGTATGTATTTTAATCTTTATCATAATCGCTTCCTTAATTGCTTATTTAATCAATGAGTTTGATTTGAACGAGCAGTCTGTTTTCAGTACATTTGCAAATGCGATTTGTGCAATTGAAAGCGATCTACGATTCATGTCGAGCACTCAGAAGCACCATTCATGGCTGTTGAATCGTTTGTTCGAAATACGCGCACTCAGAAATCGAAAAGGTTTCTCACGCCTGGCGTTCAGTCCGCCGATTCCACTTCAAAAGAGCATCGCACATGAGAAGAAACTGGCTGAG